ATAAAAAGTAAAAATTACACCATTTAAAAGTATATGAAAAGCTCTACAAAACAAGATGCGACAAGAATATTTTATTTTATCAAATGGTCAACCAAAACGAGTAAACAAACAAAAGTTATCGAGAGGCCAGAATAGTAAACGTGGCATTCTTTCTGGGACGGAGGGAGTATGTAATTTCATGGAAACTGTTTATGTTCTTGTAAGATATCACTGACATTGATTACATGAATAACGATCTGTTTTGCATTCCTGTATAGAGTATCCACCTTTCCGATTAGTGTGATGTTTTGATGTCTTGGGAAATGATAACTTTTGATCAGTTTGTCACATTATCTACTATGCCTTATTTGGTAGTTGTCTTGTTTTGTTGGAGAGGTCTGGTCCTCCAATGATATTTATATTGTTATCATGAATTTGTTGTTAAGGCATTAGGCATGTCATCTTAAGATTCTTAGCTGAATAAAGATTATGCACTTCAATGAATAGAATAAGAGGGACGTGTATTTGATTTACAGGTTTCAGTTTGGTTAAACTTTGATGTTGATGATTTGTCTATATTAATTTCGAAACATCTATGGTGCATAATTCTCTTCATCATTGTTACATGACCACAAAATTTATTATAGGTTGACTTGTTTTCACACAAGCCACTTCCTCTCCATAAAAAAATACAGTACAGCATCCTATTTCCAGTTAGGTCAACTCTCAAAGATTGGTGTTATCCATGTTCTCCTATATCAATTGTGATTTTGTTAATGAAAATGTTATTTGGGTACTGTGCTATACACTTGCACTCCTTGCTTAAGAAGTCTGGTTGGACTTTTGTTTTTACTAGCAATAGTACTAAGCAAAAATCATTTTTTGCTTTCAAATTAAATAATGAACTGACAACAGGGATATGCACCTCCTAATTCAGATAGAAGGGAGGGAGTTTTGGCAAGAAAGCGTCTTGAGTATCTTGATTGTGTTGCTCAGTATTATGACATTCCAGACACTGAGCGCACAAATGAAGAGATAACCATGCTTCGGCAGGTAATGTGGATGTTGTGGGATGACTTCTAGTTATCGATTTCCTTATCTTTTGTTACTTGTACATTATTTTTATGCACCTTTTTTGTTGTTATCAGATTGCTGTTGATTGCCCTAGAACAGTGCCTGATGTCACTTTCTTTCAACAAGAACAGGTCCAGAAATCATTGGAGCGCATACTATATACGTGGTTAGACATTCCCTATCCATTTCCTTGATTGTTAATTTAGCAGCAATATCCTTCACGTGATGTTAATATTTCTTTTTCTATTTCCTAGGGCCATTCGACATCCGGCCAGTGGCTATGTCCAGGGAATAAATGATTTAGCAACACCATTTATGGTTGTTTTCTTATCGGAACACTTGGAGGGAAGCATTGAAAATTGGAAAATGGCTGATCTCCCTCCTGAGAAAATAAATAATGTAGAAGCTGACTGTTATTGGTGCTTAACAAAGTTGCTTGATGGCATGCAAGATCATTACACATTTGCCCAACCTGGAATTCAACGATTGGTCTTTAAGCTAAAGGAGTTGGTTAGACGGATCGATGGTATGCTTTTGTATCCTCTGTAACTCCTACATCTGCTACAGCCTTTATTTAGAAGGATTGTGAAAGGTGGCTTCATGCTGTTCTCTAACCATGCTCTGGTATTTTGAGGCCTAGCTGTTGTCTCTAAATTGTTTAGTGCTCTGCGTATATTTGATCCATAAAACATTGGCCTTTAAAAGTCTTTGTTGGTCAATGAAGTTGCTAAAGAAACACATGATATGCTTAGATCCTATTAAAAAAGCCAAAACCACAAGCAGATATTTTTGCTCCCATGTAAATTTGTAAATGCAAAGTGAAACATTAAATATCTTCTTTAGTTTAAAAATGCAGACATGTACTATTAATGAATTGTTCTATCTTGGAATAAACAATTTCATATGAAATTCTCATTTTTTATCTTCATGTAAAGTTAATTAATAATGTCTATCCTGAGATTATGAAAATGAAAATTTAAGTTGTGCTAAACTTGGAAGTGGAAAATCAAAGGTACTGCCAAGTGAATTAAATGGGTTAGGATAGAGTAAATAACACATCAGTACTTTATGTGTGCACCATTTCTATAGAGTAAATCAACATAACGTGACTTATTCTTTATACTATCTTAAATACAGAGCCCATCTTAAGGCACATGGAGGAGCAAGGTCTTGAATTTCTACAGTTTGCCTTTCGCTGGTTCAATTGTCTTTTAATACGCGAGGTGCGTTTCTTGGTATTTTGACTATGGTTTTAAATTGTTATCGCCTGTGTTTTTTTTTTTTGCAGGACGCTGTTCATCTCATTGTTTTTTTAGCTGATTAATTGTTTTGATTTCCATAGATCCCATTCCACCTGGTTAATCGCCTGTGGGACACATATCTAGCAGAAGGCGACGCATTACCAGATTTCCTTGTATATATAGCTGCCAGTTTCCTACTCACGGTGAGATACATTCTCTGTTCCCACTAGCAATTTTAAGTATGGACCTGTGGGAGTGGGGCCACAACCCCCCTTGGACTGAAAAAATTACTACTTCCCCATGCCAAATTATTTGGCCTTTTGCCAACGGGTTTTCTTCCAAGTAATTTCCAGATATGCCACTATTTGCCCAAGTTTCTTCCCCAATTTACCTGTTTGCAGAAGTGTACTAGGCCTGAATTACTCCAAAGTGAAAAATGTCACATTGACATTTTTTTTAAATTTAAAAAGAGAGCTAATAATCTCTTTTTTTTCAACTTACATGTGTTTTTTTCCTCAGTGGACAGACAAGCTTCAACAGCTTGAGTTCCAAGATATGGTAATGTTCATTCAACATCTCCCAACTCATACCTGGAGTGATCTGGAGCTGGAGATGGTGCTCTCACGCGCTTACATGTGGCATGCAATGTTCAGTAGCTCACCCAGCCACTTAGTTAGCTAATCAGCTCGTCTTCAACAACGGCCCAGTTCCTAGTACTTCCATTGCGATTGAAGTATGACCGCATAACCACGCCCTGTGAAAAAGGTTTGGATTGACAAAATCTTTTTCCTCTTTGGTGTTACTTTTTGCTTGTTCCTTGTTTGTTGGATTGGATATACGTAAACACGTGGTCTGTTATTTTCTTTGAACAAAACCAGCTTGTCTTGTATTTATTTATTTGTTTGTTTGGGTTTTCACACTTCTTGATCAACGGTGTATGTTTAACATCTGTAATCCTCAATTGTTTGATAATTGCTCCGGTAGAGTTGGATTTGCATCTGACGTTCACAATGGGAAAACAAGTCTTTGGTTATTATTTTTTTCATCCCAGTGCCGACGTGTCTGTAGATGTTTGTGAGAAGATGAAGTGATAGGCAGGGGCATAATAGGCAACTTAGTCGAATTGTGTCTTAGAATGGTAAAACATGAGGCTTTGTAAATTTGGGGTTCGCCAAGGACAATTCAATCTTAATGCAGTAACTTTCCAAACCTTTTAGTTGTAAAACTTGGTCGCCAAGGTTGTTTTTGGAATTTGAGACACGTGTTCTTGTTTCTCAACAAGTAACTTGATATTGACCCGTTTGACCGTGGGGGCGGGCTGTTGAAGTCTGCACCGTTCGGTTTTCAAAAGTCAGAGTAATTTTTTTTTTGTAAAAAAAAAATACTCTAACACTATGTTTGGCTCAAGGATTTTGGAATGAAAAGAAAAGAAAATGGTTTTCTCTCATTTTTCTCACCAAAATGGAAGGAATTTGATTTTCCCTCCACTTGGTACATTTTGCCTCCTCATTTTTTTTTCTTTCTACTTTTCCTTTCTTTTCCCCTCTAACCAAACAAGAAAAATGTTTTTCCACTTCATTTTCTTTTCTTTTTCCTTTCAAATTCCTTGAACCAAACATAGGGTAAGGGTTCTTTTGTTGAGCAAAAGATATATGAGTTCTGATACTCTTACACTATGTTTGGTTCAAGGAATTTGGAAGGAAAAGAAAAGAAAATGGTTTTCTCTCATTTTCCTCACCAAAATGGAAGGAATTTGGTTTTCCATCCACTTAGTACATTTTGCATCCTCATTTTCTTTTCCTTCCACTTTTTCTTTATTTTCCCCTCTAACCAAACAAGAAAAATGGTTTTCTACTTCATTTTCTTTTCATTTCCCTTTCAAATTCCTTGAACCAAACATAGTGTTAAGGGTTTTTTTATTTAAGAAAAGCATAACTTTTTTATATTATAAAATACTAAATAAATAAAAATTTGTGCAATAATATCTAATCTTTGATAAAACTATTTCTTTTCAAATTAAATCCAATCACATTTTTCGTTTTTAAACTATCTTTTTGGGTTAATTGGACACTAACATTACACCATTTTTCGTTTTAATAAAAACATATCCCATCTTTTAAAAATATAACAAAATGATGCCCCTTGACCGGAAGTGTGATAATTTGGCGAACAAATGCTGAGTTCAACATTCATGTAGGCTTTTTGCTACTCTTAAAATTTTTTTTCTTAAAAATTTTAGGACAGAATTTTGTTGTCGTTTAAGTAATATGCGCGAGGTATCTTTTTGTTTAAGTCACACACAGAAAATGAAGAATTTTTTTGTTACAACGTCTAAAGTTGGAGTACCTCATGTAAAAAGAATCTTTATTTCTTTGTGAAAATAAAACTTAATAATTTTCAAACAACTAAAAGAGAAAAGAGTTTTCTTTTTAAAGAACTAAGAGAGTGTAACTGCATGTGTTAGGTTCTTTGCTTTGACTTCAGCTTGTGCTCAACGTTGCAACATTTAATGCAGAAATCATAAAATAAAAAGAAAGCACAGATAGATGACCTCTTCAACAAAATATAAACTAATAGAATTGGTCTTTGTTTTTGCTCGTATGTATTAAATAGTCAACGCGTTCCATTTTATGAATTCAAACAACCAAACATTAACACTGTACCTGGCGGCCTATATATATCTCCAAGCTTAACTTCACATTCTTCATTCTCAAACATAAAAAAAATATATTGACATTTTAAGCAAATTATATTTACCTTTTATTCTCCATATATTTATAATTAATATATCCTTTGATATATATAATATTCGATCGAGAAATAATCCAACATTTGGAATAGTTAATGGATTGCAAGAGAATGAACGGTTGCTTTTTGGTCTTCTACTTCTTCCTCGTTCTTTTCATGATGAGCTGCAGCCGGAGCAATACGGCGGTGGAGGCCGGAAGAGTGTTCCCGGGAGATTTTGCCGCCGTAGCAGCGGGCCTCCCGACGTCGTCCTCAGTGTTCGAGCAGGCCAAGATGAGCTGGTCCAGCTTGCTCGAGATGCTCCCGTCTGGGCCCAGCCCAAAGGGGCCCGGCCATTGATTTGCATTTCTATCCATGCATGGCCCCCAAATTTATTGCACGCGGATATTAATTGTTTCTGTACTCCGTACCATTCTTTTATTTGTTTTTTTTATTCTTTTATTGGTTCATTACCTATTCAAAAAAAAAAATGAATTCTGTCCCGAAGATGCCTTCTGACCCGGTCAAACGGTCACTAATTTGGTGATTAATTTGCATGCCGTCTCATTGTAACGGAAGTGAAAATAATAAAACAATGTCGGTTAGCATTTAACTAATTATGCATGTAGTGTAATTATTATTATTAGTGTTTTAGTTATGATGTGTTTTAAAATATTAATGGATGTGGTAGTAATTCCGTGTAATTTGGAGAATATATTAAAGAGATTCAGAGAGTCTACCTGTTTTTAACTGAGTAAGGCTAAATAAATAAAATTTCTTGTTAGTAGAAACAAAACAAAATGGTCATGAAAACAAATACAATAAAAAAACGTGACAGTCACGGGGGATAAATTTAACCCAAAGTGTGCATATAAATGAGGACTTATAAATGATTTGCTGTTGTTACTATCGAAAAAGTATGTGTGAATAAAGTTTGGGCGGTCATTTTTTAGCTAAGATATACGGAGTAAATGCATTTCAATTCCGGTTCGAACGGAAGTAAAATAAAAATACATTCTTCAAATTGAGATGGATGAACGATTTGATATGTAATAAGCCAAAAATGATTAGTGAGTGATAGAGAAATTAATACTCAAAATAGAGTAGTTTGGTGATAATTAATGAGTACGGTATACTTTTCTAATCCGGTTTATGTTCCCACATCGGAAGATTAATGCCTCCATAAAAGGTATAACACGCGGCTGCCACCGCCGCTCATATATAGGGAGCAAGTCGTTCACGATTAACTAGTGCAGTAGGAGGCCCATATTGTTAAAGGATAGCCTTTCTGGCAACTCGTTTCACTCATATATTCCACCTATTCTTTTATGTAAAGTACACGAATACTAATTGCTTCTGTTGAGAGAACAACCAAACAGCGTTTGTAGTCCAACGGTTAGGATAATTGCCTTCCAAGCAATAGACCCGGGTTCGACTCCCGGCAAACGCATTTTTGTTCCTTCGCTTTTTTCTTTCCTTTTTCGCTTTTTAAGTTTTTGGTCTCATCACCCGGAGTCACATTTTTGTGGGTCAAACAGTTCCGGTCCAGTCCAACAAGGCTGCCCCACTTTTGTAGTCCAACGGTTAGGATAATTGCCTTCCAAGCAATAGACCCGGGTTCGACTCCCGGCAAACGCATTTTTGTTCCTTCGCTTTTTTCTTTCCTTTTTCGCTTTTTAAGTTTTTGGTCTCATCACCCGGAGTCACATTTTTGTGGGTCAAACAGTTCCGGTCCAGTCCAACAAGGCTGCCCCACTTTTCTTGGTCCTTTAATAATATTAACGAGCCCACAAGCTTTATTTTATTATTTAGAGAGATGTTCTTAAGAAAAATATTACTCCTTACAAAATACTACTACTACTTACTTTGTCCCAATTTACGGTTGATTTTTTTAGTCAAAGTTCACAAATTTTAACTGATTTTTATAGATAAAATGCATCTACTTATAATGTAAATTTAACACCTACAATACATGAGTGTTAGTTTTGAAATACGAAGTACTTTATTTTTATACGGAGAAAAATTTATTTAGTCAAAAATGTATATCTTAACGTGTACAATATTATATTGAAAACTATAAACACTTAATTGGGAAAAATAAATTGAGACGAAGAAAATAAGTTGTGTCATGCTTGTCTTGTTTTAATAAATGATAGATGAAGATATGTACATCACATATAACAACGAAAACAACAACAACCCAGTTGAATCCCACTACAGTAGGGTCTAGGGGTACATCACATATAAAAAGATTTAATTTGAACATATAAATAATGTATAAGATAAAAATAATGAGACAATACAATGAAATTAAATATTTTAATGTGGCAACTTCTTCAAGTTCATCTTCTTGGAATGGTCCTTTTACTTTTCAAATGTGGAGTAAGTTTTTTCAATCACAGGTTTGAATTAGGTGTATTGAAGAAGAGAAAAATGGAAGTCTAGATAGGCAACCAAAAAGGAACATCAATGCAATTACTTCAACTATAGTCTATAGCTTATTGAAGCGATTTTTCCCAACTCCATTCGATCAACTTTGACGTGTGTATAAGCTTTATTTTGGTAAGACACAACTTTTAAAAAGCATAAAACAAACTAATGTAGTAACGTTGTGAAACAAGTTAAAAACTAGACTCTTTTCATTGGAAGGAGGGAGTAATATTATTTGTTAATGACATATTCGGTACATGTTTTGTTCCAAAATAAAATTTACACTTTCAATTTTGGGATGTCACAAAATAAAATTTAGGATTTTCCACTTTCTTGTTAAGGAAAGCAACAAGTGTCTCACGACCTTGTAAATAAATTACAATTACTAACTTTTTTACTTTTTAACACTTTTCTTTAACTCGTTGTAAACTTGACCTAGCAAGAATCACATCACCGTTGAGTCCTTCGCACACATGCTAAAATAACAAAACCTAAAAAAAACCTCTGTGCTTTGTGACTACAGCCAGCAAAAGAAGAGAAGTCTCCATCCATCAGCAACTTTGAGACAGTAGAGCCAAGTTCATCACATCTGTTGCCTTTCCAGCTTCTTCCAAAGACAAAATGCTCTTTGAATGATGGAATCCGCAGAAAACCCTTCAGCATAAGCACTTATCGCTCTCAATAGGCTCGTAAACTTCTCCCCATTGTCCTGCACAGTGTGATTTGTATCCAGGTTAAGAGCCATGAACTCACATAGAGGATATGGGAAATGGACATCACATAGAGGCACAAAGCATTCCATTTTGGAAAGAAAAAAAAATGTATCACATTTAACAACAAGATGTGTTTGTTTGTTTGCAATGGAAGGTGATATAGATTATGGTCATTAGCTGTTATTTGCATTTCATTGTAACAAACATCCCCTTGGAGAAGGTAGTTTTTTTGGGAGCACAGACTTACTACTGGCTTCCTGAATAACATATCGTTGGGGGCAAAAGGGACCATGTAATATGGAAGATCACAACGTAACAAAGCCTGCAAGGAAGACAATAAGCAGTGGATTAATTTTTGAGTTCTGAATCGATAGTAGGTTCAGAGGAAAGGTCAATAAAGGGAATGAAACGATTAAGAGGGGGGAAAAGAGATATACCAGATTCTTACTTAGTATGGCAAGTTCAGCATTTGATATTAATGCCTGAAATGATCAAACATGATTAATGTTTTACCCATTGCTATACACAGAAACTTTATTTAGGGGGTCAAATTCACACTAAATGGTAGCATCCTTGTGTTACAGCCATTTCACTACCTTATGAGCAATTTTTGAAAATCAGCAAGAAAATAACAAGCTACTGATGTGATGAAAGGTTGGTCCACTTTCGTTTTAAGGAAGCCTCTAACTACTTGCTCCACTTTCCCTTTTAGTAGACATGAGCTTATCAAATGACATAAATGCTCTTTCTTTTTCATATTTTTCTTAATTTTCCACTTCTTTACTTTTTATACACTATTCAATACCCTTGAATTCTTTCTCTTAAAAACCGTGAAAGCCTATAGGAGCAAATATTGAGGTTGGACAGAAGAGTAATACTTCCATTGATATTTATGATGCACTATTTATTAATTATTAATCCTTCCATTTCTAATTAAATCACACACTTTACTTTTCTTTCTTTCACAAAATATGCTCTTTTCATTTTAAGGAAAAAATAGTGGCTCACAATATTTTCCTATCTTCTAAACAAATTTCAATCACATTGTTCACTTTTCAACACTTTTCTTAAATTGCGCCTGGTCACACCAAGAACTAAGAAAAGGAAGGAGGGAGTATCTATTCATGAGTTGGTAACATTAACGAAGCGGACCTGTCATGTCAAAGAGTAAGATAATGTATATAGTATGAGAAATGAATCAAGATTGAAAAAACCATATTTACAACCAAATTAACTACCTCCCTGATTTTCCCATCCTCAACTTGTTCAACACAATCAAGCAAGTTTTCAAGTGTACCTATCCACACAAAACAGTGTAAGAAACAAGATAGTATCTATTCCACTAAGTGAAAACTAACATCAACAACAAAAAATCCAAAAGGTCTATGGCAATCAATAGTGGTCAGGTTTACCAATAACTTTATACATCCACATTAGATCTTGTCTGAATTTTCGTGTGGCATAGAAGTACTATCTTATTAGACTAGAATTGTATTTTTATTAGATAATCCTATCTTGGATTCAATATACATTCCACAGAGACTCTACAATGTTGTTTCAATTAGGCAACTTTTGATTAGCCGTTTTAGCTTGTTACTCTCATCCTCAATCCTCAAGGCATATCCAGTTAACTTTCGTATGTAATGCTTTTTCCCCATAAGTTACATGAATAACAACAAAAGGCGGAGGTGAAGGAATACGGAATATACCAAATTTCATGATAAGCTGTGTAGCATTAATGTCTCCAATCCCAGAGACCCCTGAAGATAAAATATAAAAACCTTAGAATTACATGAGTTATGTATGTCTTATCACGGATTAGAAGTTTCACAACATCAGGATTTTATTATTATGATTATTATATCAATAAAGTTTTTCACTTTAAGCAGGAACAGAGACACTAACCAGGTATATTATCACACTTATCACCCACAAGTGAGATTACATCAACAAATTGTGGAGGCTGCAATCCTCCGTACTTCTTACCAAAATCTTCCATCCCAAATGAAACCATCCTAAAGACAATCCCATGGAAATGGTGAGTGGATAGTTTACATGCACATACAATAGCATAATTCAGTTCGACAATGAGATCTATAAACAAAAATTGAAAATAAAATTCTAGTGTCAGTGGTGTGTCACCTTTATATTGAGGTTTTGGTAAGTACGCAACAACTTTTATCTATTATGCTGCATACTAGCATGTTGGTTTTACAATATAAAGTAATTTAACATGTCAACGCATTATCTCAACTCATTGTTGTCCCGTGATATTTTCCATGCATAGAACAACGCAGTATAATCAGAACTCGGTAGCTGGTCAAGATGTACACAGTCTTACCCATATCAAAACAAAGAGGTTGTTTTCATTAGACCCTAATATTTTCCACGCATGTTAGCATGTGGAACTACAATGTAATGATGACGGTTAAAGAATTTCATATCATTGTTCCTTAGTAAGAAAGTTGCAGTACACACGTCAGCATTTAAAAAAATGCTACTACATTTTTTGCATGACTTTATGGTGCTAACAAAGTTTAGACAACTAATTTCAGGCCACAGATCTAACTAGTTGGGATTAAGGGATGGTGATAATGATAATGATGCAATAGCCTTTGTGACACATATAAACATTTCAACATATGTGTAGTTATAGATGGATATGCACATTGTTGGTTAATTCCAGTCCAGAATATAGTTTAAATTTAAAAATAAATAAGTAAAAAAAAAAGGGCAGGCAGTTGGGCAGTTACAGGCAGTTTTATGACAGTTTCCAACAGATGTGTTGGTTAGAAACTGTTTATTTGTAATGGTTGTGTTGTTTAGTCCTCTATTTATATGTATGGGCACATTGTTCTGGACAGCAGTTCCACAATAAAAACACACTGTTTCTATACTTTAGATCTGTCATTATTTCTCTCAATTGGTATCGGAGCCCTGGTAAAAATAAAAACATCAAACACAGATCTGTGATCAGTAGTTGTCTTGCAATATGCCTGAAAAACAATAGTCTGTGATGGAGGCCATCAATACTAAGAAAACAAATGATGTTGTTGCTGTTACCCCGGTTCGAGATGGAGGCTCGACAACGTACCAATGTCCTGTACTCACTACAACGAATTATACATCTTGGGCTATCAAGATGCAGTCGTTTATGGATGCCCAAGGAATTTGGGATGCCATAGAACCACCGGATGCGACGGAGGTGGACGTCAAGATCCGGAAGAAGGCAAGGGCCTTTATCTTCCAGGCACTACCGGAAGACATTCTCATGCAAGTAGCAGGACATGCAGAGGCCAAGGA